GAGTAGAGAGCTTTCAATAAGGTGATGTACTTACTAGGCACGCCTTTCAGTGACAGACACTGCCATAAGACTTCTCGATCAACGGAGTCAAATGCCGCCTTCAGGTCGAGAAATACAGCTATTGTCGGGCGTCTGTAAGCATGCCTATGTTCCAGGACCTGGCGCAGTGTGAATATTTGGTCGATACATCCACGGCCAGGTCTAAAGCCTGCCTGGTTTTCTCGGGCTTGCTGTTCCCGAGCTCCACTCAGGCGTCGGAGAATTATAGAACTTAGGATCTTAGACACTATGTTTGTCAGGCTGATTCCTCTGTGGTTATCACAAGAGGACTTCTCGCCTTTCTTGAAGACTGGGATGATGAGTGACTTAGACCAGTCGGAGGGGATCGTATTTGATTCCCATATACTGGCTAACACTTCCGTTAGCCTGACTAAGAGAACTCTACCACCATTCTTGTATACCTCAGCAGGTAGTCCGTCTGGTCCTGCTGCCCTTCCCCGTTTCAGGCTACCTACCGCTTTCTCAACTTCTTCTAGTGTTGGGGGACCTGTCTCTATGTCCCATTCAGGGTCCGACTGGATAGCGGGCAGCGCAATGGTGGCTGGAGGCCAGTTAAACTGTTCCTCAAAGTGTTCTGCCCATCGTCCCAGTCGCCTTCCCTGCGAGTGAATCGCCGATCCGTCCTTCTCCGCTATAACCTCACTAACTGTTGTTGACCATTTCCCCCCAGTCTCCTTAATAAGTCTAAATAACTGTCTACTGTTACCGATCGCCGCTGCCTTTTCCATCTCTTTAGCCTTTGCTGCCCACCACTGTTCACGATCGTTGCGCAGACTTTTCGTCAGTTTATTTTTAAGTTGCGCTCGCTCTTCATTGTACTCAGAGCCTGCAGGGATGCATTCACGTGCATCCATTAGTTTGGAAGAAGCTGCTGATATCCACTGGCTCTTTTTAGCCATTATCTTGGAGTCGGCTACAGTCTCCAGTGCTGCTTTTACAGTAGACTGAAGATGGCACCAAGCTTCTTCTGGATGAGTGACAGTCTTTTGTTCCGATAACTGCCTAGCCAACTTCTCACTGAACACGGCTTTGGTGTTTTCGTTGTCCAGCAGAACTCGTAGTGGTTTTGTTGCCAAATTTTTTCTACGTCCATTGAGACGCAGGCATATACGTGCTCGGACCAACGCATGATCGCTGTCCAAACACGTACTCCAGAAGGAGCGGCAGTCTTCCACCGATCCTCTCCAGCGATGACTAATAGCAATGTGGTCTATCTGTGTCCATCGCTGAGTCGAGCTCGGTGGACGCCAGGTCAGACAGTGCCTTTCTTTATGTCTGAAATTTGTGCTGGCTAAAAATAGGCGGTTATCTGAGCATAGTTGTAATAGGCGATCACCGTTATCTGTACGTTCAGCTGGGATTCCGAAAGTGCCACCTAAGTGCCTTTCTGCCTCACTCAGTCTACCCACCTGTGCGTTGAGGTCACCTGCAACAACCACTACGTCCGAACGTTTGGCTTTCGAGAGGAGGTTAGACAGTTTATGGTAGAACTCGTCCTTCACTTCATCCGAACTACAGTCAGTGGGTGCGTAAGCAGAGATTACAAAGAGACAACGGCGAGTCTCACTATTCCTTTTAGTTCTCACTGTGCCGTTCAGCCTCATAGCGCAGAGGCGACTATCAACTGGGATCCAGTCTAGTAGTGAGTTTTCTGCCCTGGTGCTTAATGCTATACCTACACCTGCAAGACCACGAGAGCTAGCTATCGAATCTCCAGAAACTCGAAGGGTGAATTTTGTGGATTCACCAGATTGGTCAGGAGAGGTCAGGTGAATAACCACACTTGGGTCCTGTATGCGTGTCTCACAAACACAGCACACATCCATGCCCGAGTTGCTAGAGTCTTTGCCAACGAAGCCTGTTGGCCAATTTGACGGAGGGTGCGGACATTGAAGGCTCCAATATGTAATTTGGAGCGTGGTTTAAGGAGACCAGGGATGCTGTTCTGTGGACTCAGATCGTTGTCGAAGGCTGCAGAGGTAGGAGAAATTGAAGATGATGCAGCATCATTAATTAAGAGACGTGAAGGAAGATTAGAAGGTAATGATGGAGGAGGAGGATAGCAGTCAGAAGAAACTTGGGTGCTGACAGAGTTGTGAGGGCGGTTGACACTTCCCGGCTGCCCACACCGTGGAAGGCTATTTCTTCTTAAGGTACCTGAAAGAGATTTGTGTGACCGCAGAGCCCATCGGACATCTGCTTGAGGCCTGTCACACCCAGCCTTTTGAGTATGATTATTTTGAACTTTTGTATTTTTGGGGCCGGATGGTCGAAAGGAAACGACAAGTGAACCAACACCGCCGGCCCGGCAGACCGTGGGGCGTGGTGGAGTGTGTTATTTTTGGGGCCGACCTTTTCTAACCCCCCCTTCCACTGAGAAGGCAGCATCAGCATGGCACTGCTGGTCATCCAAGGGAAACACCTTACTGCTGTCACACCCCATCCAGCTAGCAGCAGTACGACTTCGCCCTCAGACCCCCATCATAGTGTAGCAATTTACACTATACGGTAACTGCTTTTCGTCTAACCACTACCCAACAGACCTTTCTGGTATGGTAGGACCTCGAGGGAACAAGCGTTCCACCAGCATAGCTCGTTGGGTCATTGTGATATGCAAGCCCGACCACCACGTCAAGGTAGCAGCTATCGGTCGGGTTATAACAAGATGCCTCTTCGCTTTTCTTGAAGACTGGGATAATCAGTGATTCAGACCAGTCAGAGGGTTCCCATACGCTAGTTAATACTTCAGTTAACTTGACTAAAATCACCCTACCACTATCCTTATATACCTCAAGAAGCAGTCCGATTGGACATGCTGACCTTCCTCGTTTTAAGCTGCCTACCGCTTTCTCGACTTCTAGTGTTCGGAGGTCTGTCTCAATGTTCCATTCAGGATCTAACTAAACAGCGGGAAATGCAATACGAGCTGGAGGCCAGTTGAACTGTTCCTCGAAGTGTCTCCCCCCCCTTCGTTTCTGTCATCTTCCTTGTGAATGAATCGCAGACTCATCCTTCTCTGCTATAGTCTCACCAACCGTTGACCTTTTCGCCTTAGTTTCCCTAATAAATCTAAATAATTGTCTGCTGTTACTTATCACCGGTGCCTTTTTCACCTCGTTAGCCTTTGCTGCCCACCACTATTCGTGGTCATTACGTCGACTTTTAGTCAATCTATATATCAGTTGCGTTCGCTCCTCATTGTATTCAGAGCCTGGAGGGATGCATTAGCGTGTATCCACTAATCCAGAAGCTGCTGATATCCACTCTTTGACAGTGCGCTACGGTCTTCAACGCTGTTTTTACAGCAGATTGGAGATGGCACTAAGCTTCTCCTGGATGAATGTTCTGTTCCAATAACTATCTAACCAGTTTCTCACTGAAAGCAGCCTTAGTGCTCTCACTGTCGAGCTGCACTCTCAATGGTCTTGTTGCTGAAGTTTTTCTACAGCCACTGAGATGCAGAAATGTACGAGCTCGAACCAACGCGTGGTCGCTATCCAAACACATGCTTTAGAAGGAGCGGCAGGCTTCCACAGACCCTCTCCAGCGATAACTGATAGCAATGTGTCCATTTCTGAGTTGAACTCGGTGGAAACTACATCAGATAATGTCTTTGTGTCTAAAGTTTGCGCTAGCTAGAAATAAATGGTTATCTGAGGACAATTGCAGTAGGCGATCTGTTCGTTCAGTCGGGATCTCGAAAGTACCACGTAAGTGCTTTTCTGGGTTACTCAGCTTACCCACTTGTGCACTGAAATCACCTACAACAACAACCACATCTGAACGTTTAGCTTTTAGAAGGAGACTAGGCAGTTTTCAGTAGAACTCATCCTTCACTTCATATGAACTGCAGTCAGTGGGTGCGCAAAAAGAGATTATAAGCAAACGACGGGGAGTTTTACTGTTCCTTTTAGTTCTCACTGTGCCGATTATCCGGACAACACATAGGTGGCTGTTAACTGGGATCCAGTCTAGTAGTGACCTTACTGCTCCAGTGCTTAGTGATATGCCTACACCTGCAAGACCACGAGAGCTGGTCATCGAATCTCTGGAAATTCGAAGGGTGGATTTTGTGAACTCACTGTATTGGCCGGAAGAAGTAAGTGAATAATTGCATTTGAATCCTGTCTGTGTGTCTCACAAACACAGCACACATTCATGGTCCGAGTTGCTAGAGTTTTGGTTAATGAAGCTTGTTGGCCAATTTGAGGGAGGGTAAGGAAACGGAAGGTCCCACTGTGTAATTTGGAGCATGGTTTAAGGAGACCAGTGATGCTATTCCGTGGACTCAGATCGTTGTTGAAAGCCGCACAGCTGGAAGGAATTTAAGACGTGAAGAAAGATAAGGTAAGGATGAGAGAGGTAGGTAGTGGTCTGAGGGCACGAGCGCCGACAGTTATGAGGGCGGTTGACACTTCCCGACTGCCCATACAGTGGAAGGCTAGGTCTTCTTGAGGTGCCTGAAAAAGAAAGGTTAGTGCGTGATCCCAGAACCCAGGAGACATTTACTAGAGGCCAGTCACGTACGGCCGTTTTGATGCCCCAAAAACTGGCCTGTATTATGAAATGTGGTCGGAGGTACGTTCTGTGATTCTAGATCACCACTCACCACCGATGACTGATCTTAACCACCATAATGCATCATTTCATTGTTTAAAACATGTTACGGGTAAGGGTAACCGCTTCTTGTCTAATTACCATCTAACAGATCTTTCTGGGAAGGTAGGACCTTGAGGAAACAAGTATTCCACCAGCGTAGCTCGTTGAGTCATCGTGATTTACAAACCCGACAACCACATCAAGGTAGCAGCTATCGGTCACGCGACTCACTATAATACCCACAATGAGTGACTACTGAGATTATGTAGTTTGGCAAGATTTTGTCATTGCCATAATAAGGAAATACTTGCTTTTTATAAAGTACATGAAATAGCACATACCATTGATCCAATATTCGAACCTCTTTTATGGGTTTAGGTGATGCCAAATAAATTGTATCAAATTAATTCACGGGATGCCCGATGCACATTGTACGTAGCTCACGCAAACTGATTGTAAATATTCTGTCGGTGAATGGAGGGAGCATTTCGACACGCAAATGAATAGTCTGTAAACTGAAATGAAACAATAGGACTTAGTGAGTTGAAACTGTATCATCAAATAAAAATGGATTTGAATCCATGTAAATGATAAAGTGGTCAATTAAGCACAATATTTATTTCAAAAAAAATTGTTTAGCACACCGGGTGACCAAAGGAACAATCAAAAAAAATAATGACAGTATTTGGAGAAATCATACTGCGCTGGAGAATCATTTCTATCTGATCGATGAGCGAAACCTAAAGAAGCTTAGAGTGTATTCTCTAAACTAGGCAAATTGCTTAAGCAAAGAGAAAAAGAATCACTCATGGATCAAACGAGAGAATCTCAAAAGCAGTCTACGGAAACCAGTTGACAAACAGAATTTCAAAGTCTAACATAAAGCGTGTACGGAAAGTACTATCAGCGTCAAAGACATTTTACTGGCCAATACTAATTTTAACCTTACTTTTCTCCCGAAATAGTCTTTCCTGACAACCTGGGATATAAACAAGTTGTAGCAATCATGTAGTGCAAAGATAAAAACGTGGATGTACAGGTAATAAAAAAATGTATGCTTCTTCAACGTTTTCAAGACTAAGCACGCCATTGTTTAGGCAAACCAAATGTACCACGCATTTTAACTAGCTATTCGTGATCAGCTTACATGTCACCGTAAAGTGAACACGTGCCAAAAAACTAATACCACGAAGTAACGGTGTGCACTCATCTTGAAGTATGGCATACAATAAACAATAACAGATGGAAGTGGCATAAAGTAGAATGGCGAATAGTCTGCGATGTTTGCATAATTGTTACAGGAATGTAGTTTATTGGCTTAGGCAGTCGATTTTTAACGAACCCTACTTCAATCACCAAGTCGCGAGCAGTCAGGTATTATCACTACCTCCCATATAATGTATGGTGATAGCCTAGCTTAAAAACCACATGATTCCTGAATTTTAATTAGTGATTTGAATGTTACTTCATAATATCTTTTCACCAACTAAGCAAACCATTTATCCAACATCACTATACAGAAAACTGCATTAGCAAACCACTGACAGGTAAAGACTCGTTCTCAAAAGCGGTCATCAAAAATTCAAAACATCAACTTGACAGACTTTTGAAAAACTGACAGATTTTTTGCAGTCAGCCTTAACTACAAAGACAGTCAAAAAATCAAACAAAAAAGCACAGAATTTTGCAAATAGCCTACCACTAGCCCTAAAGGAACATACTTTATCCAATACTAAGTCCAAAGAGGACATAATACTTGCCAACAGCTGATGGGCAATTATCCACCCTTAGTAAACTAGTCAGGCCCAAATCACAAACAATGTAAGACTATCCCGACAGAAACGTAAGAAAGATCCCCACCCAATATTTCCTCAAGCAATTCGGAAGAATTTAGATCGAGTGAATGTATCTCATAGCTTTCTATGAGCATTCGGTGTTGAATTCGCAGAGCAACTTGTCAATGACAAGAAAATGAACAAAATGTAACAAGTTAGCAGTTTGATCAGTCTCGATTTCCCTTCACTGAATCCATCACGGTGGTGTAGATGCATACACATATTATCTTCATCCTAATCGTCATGCTAAATTTCGCTATCACCTTATCCCCTCTCCCAGCACGACTTCCTACTACTATTGGTTATTTCCTTCCACATTTCTCTTTCGATATTGTACCTTTCACTTAGGTGTGCCGATCCCATGTGTGTCAGCGTGGACAGTAGCGTTGCAATGCCAGGTCCCGTGTTCATACCGACCGGTATTTGGAGGCATAAGATCACCGTTTGTTTTTTGAAAAGCTCTTGATAAACCAACTTAAGTTGACAGGTAAATCCAGTGGTAATTGGAATGAAGAAAGTTCCCTTGGAATGGCTATAAGCAGTTAACGTGGTTGACGGCAACCCTTGTGGGGCTGCGGCTGACTGTTTAAGCAGCTGACTTCCAACCAATGAATCACGAATTCGCTCCACCCACTGAAGTTAGAAGTAGAGGTATTATAAGCTATGACACAATGGAAGTGGACCACATTGGTATCTCGTATCCAACAATAACCAAAACTGAAAAGCAGCAAGTAAATAAATGATTATTGGGATAATCATTCGATGCTCCATGCCCTGAGAGCCGGCTAACCCATTGTTGTTCAAGAGCATAGCGCTCGACACACTTATAAAAGCCAGATTCTGCCGAGGTTCCATGAATCTCATCATCTCGGAGTCATTCCGGCCAGCGTGATTATTCAAAAGTTTCCCTACTATACATCTTGATACTTTTGAATTCTTTAATCTAGGTCGGAAAAAGAAAACCTGGGAATACCGGTGAAGTTACCGAAAGCATGACCAACCCTCACTGTGATTATTTTGAGCCTCATAAAACTTACACAAGTCATGGATTTTTAAGTTGCGATGGTGTCAGTGTGTCACGAGGGGTTTGAAGCTGTGATTGGCCTGCTTCTCTAAGTGGCACGGTCAGTCAGGATTACCTGATATTCTCGAGTTCGTTAAACTAAACCTCATTACCGTTAAGTGAATCCAGTGCACAGATGAGGAGATATCCTCGGCCTAAGGAGGTGCCTTTGCACTTGTAGGTCATTGCACTGAAATCCTATTGGTGCGTTATGCACGGATTTAAGGATCTTGATTTTGGCGGTAAGCTCACATACAAATCCGCTTTTACGGTCATCTTAGCTTAGAATTGAAATTAATTTTCTTATTTGACCACTAACTCACAGTTTTCGTCAACAGCTTGTAGAAAAGCTGGTCCAGTTATCTCTGTCGATATGGGGCTTAGATCCAAGGATATAATTTTATCCCAGCGATTCACCAGTTTGGAAGACTTCGAGCCAAGCTTGAAAGAGATACACTGGGTATGGCATTCTTCTTATTGTGTTTTAACTAGTATACGCATGCTAAGTATGTTACATTTGAGGCCAAGTGATTCAATTCTGAAGCTACACCCAAGTAACTGGAAATTTACGAGGTGTCACAATAATTTTTAGATGTCAGTGTCATGAGAAATGTATTGCATCGTGTCGGACGAAACATACCAGTCCAAACGTTCTCTAAGGATGGAGAACTAAATAGTGTCTGCTACAGTCAACAGAGGCACATAAGTATGCACCAGTCGTTCCCAAAACTGATATGTTTCGACTCAACCTATAAGAAGAACAAAAATGGGTATGTGCAACATTGAGTTCGCCCGTAAGTCTTCCACTGTTCTAGATGAATGTAACCGATGGTCTGGGCTCTGGCTGCACTGTAATGTACACTGTACACAGGCAAGAAAAGTGGAAGATGCCTGTTTTCTTTTAAGAATGTTCCCAAGTGTGATGTAAGGATCGGATGGCACAAAGATATTTGTGATAGACTCAGAAGCAGCCAAAATAAGTCCTATTCTGTCCACCCACAGCCACCCTAACATACTTTTATGTGCATCCTATTTGCTGAGGGCATCTTTTCGAAAGGTAAGGAGTTTTAATTTCTAGTGTCAACTGTATAGTTTCGTCAGCCTAACGGCATGTGCTATTTCGGGAAACTGAACAAAAGCAAATAAACGGAAAGGTTCGTTAAACTCCTATTTTCGCTGCCTACAGGTTCTCACAGTATTATGGGTATCCCAAAGACGGCATCCTTCTGTGCATGCATATTTACAGGGAAACTGGATAAGCCGCAAACACCTGCAGCCGTAGTGTTGCTGCAAGCGCGCAAATGTGCGCAAGGTTGCTGAGATTATTTAGATTTGGATATTTTTTGATTTCGACAGGTACCTTGGTAAGTTAGAGTACTTCAGTGGTAGAAATATTCCTGACATTTCCATCATTAAAAGCCACACAGCCTTTGAAAAGCTGTTAAAGGAGGGTTCCAAATGCTATCCGAAACGGCTGCGCTACCACATTAAGAGAAAATGTGATGGCATTGCGTCCACTCCTACCAGAAAGAAAAATGAACAAAGCAATAGAATCACATCCATCCAGGATGAATTCTGTTTAAAAAGAACTTTTGTTCTAGTGATGAAAACGGCTGAACGCCATATGCTGTCATTCTTAGCGATCGCCCGAGGGAACCTATTCTGAACTCAGCAGCATGAAAGACGGGGTCACCCAACCTGGGTGTACGGCAGTAGAGGTTGTGTTATTTGACAGATCATTTTCTAATATAAGGCCCATAAAGATGAGGCAAACCACGGGCACTCTTGTAATATGGCACGGGACCAGATAAAAAGTAAGTGACCGCAAGCCGACAAGCCCTGGTACTCCTGTTGTTCGATGAAAATATTAAAGGAGAAGACCAGAACGGTGATAACCGGAGCGAATACTCATTGTCAAAATCCCAGCAAGCTCAACCTTCAAACAAAGTGTAACGGCAAATGATCTCCCGAGGTCAATAGCCTAGGGTTCGACGAAGTTCAACGCCGGTGTTAACCTTTTCGGTTTTTGTGAACATTTCAGGCTGAGGGCACACGGCCAGGCATCCGCGCCTTTTGGCACGAGGTCGTGTCACTCAGCGTCGCTCGTACGCGACCCTCGAGCCAGCTAGTCAGAATGCATTAGTACACTGACACCAGCTATGAAGCATTCCGTTCTTTCTGGCTACTCTTTTCTGCTCGTTCCCAGTCTCACACTCCTGGGCATAAGACAAGCACGATTAACTAGTGATTAGTCTATGCTTCTGTCAGTTATGCATGAGATCAATGCCTGAAACTATATTTCGCACTGAGCTACAAACATATATCGAGGGGTTACATGAGCTTGATTTTTCACAGCTGGCCTTAGGTTGAATAAATTTCGGGACTAGATTTGAGCAACAATATGCTTCGAAGGACTTCGAACAATCAATTGTCAGATGAAGGGATC